GCCGATATCCCTCTCTATTTGTTCGGCTTTGTTAGTTTATGCTCCCTTTTCTCTGGAAATGCAGCCTTCTAAATGGGGTTGCTCTAGCCCTGCACTCCAAGGTCTGAAGGGGGCAGAGGTACTCGCAGGCGCAGGCGCGGGGAGCGGGAGCCACGTACAGGCAGGCAAAAGCTCAAAATGCCTGTAATTCCTCAGCAATTTGATCTTTTAAAAAAATGAGTTCAGAATGTTGAAATATAAGAGCTTATGTTTCCTCAAAGGCTGTCTGTCTGCTAGACAGAGGTTTCCTATGTGCGATTCCTTGGAAACCCTATGTAAGGTTGCTATGGGTCGAAACCAACTCAATGGCACTTAACAACAGCAACAAATGGTGAACAAAACCTTTGGTACCTTTTTACCCTCCACACATGATAAAACTTTCATTAGCTAGAACCTGAAAAACTACAGTTCCCAATGAGTCATGCCTTCCACACTGAAAAATTCCCACTATTGTTATTAGGCGCCACCAATTTATTTCCAATTCACAGTAACCCTACGTATAACAGAATGAAGCACTGCCCAGCCTTCCAGCATCCTCACCATCACTGCTGTGTTAGAGCTCACTGGGGCAACCTCTGTGTCAGTCCACCTTTTTCACTGACTCTCTACTTCACCAAGCATGATGTGCTTTTACAAGAACTAGTCCCTTCTGATAATATGTCTGAAGTACAGGAGATGAAATCTTGCCATCTTCACTTCTAAGGAGACTTCTGGCTGTACTTCTTCCAAACAGATTTGTTCATTCTTCTGGCAGTCCACAGTACATTCAACTTATTCACCAATATCATATTTCAAAAGCATCAATTCTTCTTCAGTCTTCCTTTCTCTTGTTTTCTCATGCATGTTGTTGTTGTTGTTAGGTGCCATTGAGTCGGTACCGACTCATAACAACCCTATGCACAACAGAATGAAACGCTGCCCAGTCCTGGGCCAACTTGACTCACTACTGTTGCCACACTTGATGCTGCCACTTTACTAATCCATCTTGCTAGGGGTCTTCCTTTTTTTCTCTGATGCTCCACCTTACCAAACATGATATCCTTCTCTAGTGACTGGTCCCTCCAGACAATATGTCTGAAGTATGAGACATGAAGCTTGACCATCCTAGCCTCCAAGAAGCACTCTGGCTGTACTTCTTCCAACACAGATCTATAGGTTCTTTTGGCAGCCCATGGCACTTTCGATATTCTCAAAAGCATCAATTCTTCTACGGTCTTCCTTACTCACTGTCCAGCTTTCGTATGCATATGAGGTTATTGAAAATATCATGGCTTGGGTCAGGTGAACCTTAGTCTGTGCATGTAAGGCAACTGAAAATACTATGGCTTGGTTCAGGCATACTTTAGTTCTGAAAGTGGCATCCTTGCTTTTTAGCTCTTTAGAGAGGTTTCATTGTAGCAGATTTACCAAAAGCAAATTGTTAAGTGCCATCAAGTTGGTTCCAATGTGCAGAATGAAACATTGTTGGGTCCTGAGGCATCCTCACAATATTTGTTGTATCTGAGCTCACTGCTGCAGCCACTGATTGACAGCCTTCTTTTTTGCTGACATTACTTTATCAAGTACAATGTCCTTCTCCAGGGACTGTTCCCTCCTGATAGCATTACCCAAAGTACTTGCCATACTCACGTCTAGCTGAACTTCTTTCAAGACAGACTTTTCCATAGTACTTTCAATATTATTTACTAACACCATAATTCCAATGTATTGATTCTTTTATGGCCTTTTCCTTATTCATTGCCCAACTTTCCACGTGCATATGAAGTGATTGAAAATTCCATGGCTTGGGTTGGGTACACCTTAGTCCTCAGACTGACAGCTTTGCCCAATGCAATACATCATTTGATTTCTTGACTGCTGCTTTCCTTAAGTGTTTATTGTGAAGCCAGGTAAAATGAAATCCTTGACAACATCAGTCTTTTCTCCATTTATCATGATGCTCTTTACGGGTCCAGTTGTTATAAGGATTTTTGTTTTCTTTTCACTGAGTTGTAATCCATACTAAAAGCTGTGCAATCTTTGATCTTCACCAGTAAATATTTCAGGTCCTCTTTCCTTTCAGCAAGCAAGGTTGACTCATCCACATATCGCAGGCTGTTCATGAGTCTTCCTCCAATTCCGATGCCATGTTCTTCTCCATATAATGCAGCTTCTTGTGTTATTTGCTCAGCATACAGATTAAATAGGTATGGTGAAAAGATAGGTGCAACCCTGACACACATCTATCTTGACTTAAAACCATGCCATCTCTACCAGCTGCTCCTCAAAAACCTAATGAGACCTCAGAAACACTTTGAGTCAGAACCAATTCTACAGCACTTAACAACAAGATTCTACATTCAACAGTAAGTTTCAGAGTCTCTTCTCTTCTGACATCCACTTTGGTCTTCTCTTTCTTTCCTGTCTTTTAAATGACGTTTGCTTTCTTTATGTATGATGCTCTTGATGCCATCCTACAACTCATCTTGCCTTCAGTCACTAGTTTCCATGCATCAAATCTGTTCTTGAGATGGTCTCTAAATTCAAGTGGGATGTAGTCAAGGTCATATTTTGACTTTCAGACTTGCAATTTTCTTCAGTATGAAACTGAACTTTGAATATGAGCAATCAAGGGTCTGTTCACCTGGCCTTGTCTTGACTAATGATATTAATCTCCATGGTCGCTTCTCACATATGTAGTCAAATTGATTCCTATGTATTCCATCTGAGAGGTCCAAGTACATAGTCACCATTTATATTGTTGAAAAAAGTATTTCCAATGAATAGGCTACTGGTCTTGCACAATTTTGTCATGTGATCTCTCCACTGTCATTTCTATCACCAACACCATATTTTCCAACAATTTTCCCTCTTCTTTGTTTCCAACTTTCCCCTATAATGTAATTGTTGTTAAGTGCCATTAAGTTGGTTCCAACCCATGTGATCCTGAATGGGGTTTTGGAGGAGCAGCTTGTGAGTTTGAACCACCGACCTTGTGATTCAAACCAACCTTGCGGTCCAGTGCTTTATCATACAGCACCACACCAGGATTCCTTCCCCTATAATTTTTGATGTTGTTAAATGCTGTCAAGTCGGTTCCAATCCACAGCAACCCTGTATAAGGTTTACAAGGAGCAGTTGGTAAGCTTGAACTGCCGACCTTGTGGTTCAAACTGACTTTGCAGTCTAGTGCATTAACCCACACCACTACACCAAGACTCCTTTATAATAGTTATACTTAGTTTTGGGGTCAAAAACCAGTAGAAGGATCAAATATGAATAACAGAGTACATGCAAAATAGTGGATACAAAGGATCATCTGGACATTGCACTTAAATCCTTCACATTTATTCCTGAAAGGAAAATTAAAATGCTTACCTTTTTTTAGTTGGTTCCGTTGTGTTCTTCCCAAGGATTTCTCTAATGAAAAGCAAATATAAGTTATTACATATGCATAGGCTTGTGCTATCCCAAAATATGCAAAAGCTTACTAGTTACTATGGTGGAACTAACTCATTGGTAGGAGGTACTACAATACTTATAACTTTTAAGATGCATAATAAATCACGTTTCAATGAACCAGTTTCCACCAAAACAGTCTGCTTAATGGAAAAGTTTTTACGTTTTACTAGGAAAACATGGTCCCAGGCTATCCAAGTTATTTTTGTGCATTCGGAAGGTTTTATAACCTCTCAAAAAGAAAGAGACAAGCTGTTGCAGTATGAAGTGGCCAGTAATCTGCAATGGGGAACACTCATAATGTTTATAAAGCAGCAAAGGGGGAAGTTCTCAGCAAATATACATTAGGAATCAAAGAAGAAGCTATACCAGCCAGGGCCCTACCTCCGAGGGCTCCCAGAAGCCTGTTCTACCTTTCTCAGATACAGTAAAGGGAATGAACAAACTGATGTATCAAAAAGAGTTCTCTATTCCATAGTGTAGTAATTGATACTAAAGGGTGAGAGGAGGGGAGAAGAATATGCACTCCAGTGGCTCTTTCAAATGGAACAAAATTCTCTACTTTCAGCTTTAGTTTTCAAGGAATAAATCTGTCTTACTATGAAAATTGTTTGTATAAATGACTGCTTATTTCATGAAGATACCATCATGCCTGGGACTCAGACTTGGCAAGTAGGAAGCACAGGTCTACCCTGGGAGATTTTCTCACCTTTAGGTCCCTGGAAGACCATGCCATAACTAGAGACCAGCATTCATTTCTAACAGAGTAAGGTCAAGACCTTTCGAAGCAGCCAAGTCCTCCTCAGGCACCAAGAAACAAGGATTGAGAGGTGACCACCACAATTTGGTAACGGTATGAATGTAAGACACAGATATGTGTTTGTGTAACATGTTGGATATCACCAGATCCAAAAACAAGTGCTTTGTTACTTATCTGACCTGAGTTTTTACATTTTCTTTGTTAAAAATCCATTTTACCTCATCGCTTTCTGCTCCTCCTCCATCTGTTCTCTGACTTGCTGTAGTTCCTTTAGCAGCTCAAGATCAGTGCCATTAACCCAGGTGTAGACCACATCTATTGGCATGGGCAGACAGAGTCTAGGAAAAATGCAAACATCTTCTAGCTTAAACAGATTTGGGAATAAGGTTTATACTTAGAAGTAATTCTTAAAAAGCAAAGTACATGTAATTCAATCATGGCGTGTATCACAGAAATAAATGTTTTCAATAGGAGCCAAAGGGTTAATGTCTTGTTGCCTTCTCTGTGGATTGCACTATGTACACTAAACACCGTATGCCATTCACATCATTTGATCCTCACAACCATCTTGTAAGAAGGTTGGTTTCAATGCCATTTTAAAAATTGTTGGTGGTTTGGAACAAGAGGGCTCTGTGATACAGGGATCTAAGCATAGTCTGAATGGGTACAAGAGGGGAAATAATGTTAAGATGCTTGACTGTCTTATGAATATTGGTTTTCCTTGCCTACTATTGTAAAATAGACACTTGACTGGGATAGAAAGGAATCTTGGGAAACATGATTACAGAAAACTTGCAAGCCAGTCTTCAGCCTAAAACTGACTGGAATACCTAAAGGGGGTTCTAGAACTAGCCCAGTGAAATAGGCTTCTTGAGGAACATTTGT